TCCTATCTACCTAGTAAAAGCAACAGAGACTGGTACAACAGGAACTACTGTTCCATGGCTTACTGCTCTCCCTGGTAAGATAGGTAAGTTACCTAAGAAAGCAACATTGCTTCATAGTTTACCATCTTTACCCAGAACCTAACATAGTTTACAGCAAGGAAAAAAAAAAACTAAATAAATGAGCATATGAATAAGTCAGCAAATGACCTTGGGTCCATCTTGGGAAGGATGTCAAAAAACTTCATTTATCATCTAGAATATGTCAGACATAAAATATCTCTTAAGGAGCAAAACAACAGTGGTACTTGTTCCCCTGGACTTTACAGTCTGCTTAAAAAGTAGACATTAGCAAGTTAAAATAACACTACGATAGCCCCTTCCTCTAAGGCAATGATTTATATAGTGGTGTAATGAAGTCACAAAATCAAAGATATTTGAAAATCAGACAGGGACTAAAATTAATAAGGTACACAGAGTAACAGAGTATTAAGCCTATGGCAAAACAAGGTATAGCTTATTATTCTTTGATATACAAAGCATATTTTGGGTTAGATCCAGTCTGTTGGCTCAGTGTTTGCTACCCTTGAAAAGAATGCTTCAGATTGATTTGTGGCTACAGATTTTCATCTGGCATACCTTGACTACAGAATCAAATGACAGAGTACTTTTTCACAGAAGGTGAGTTTTGAGTTTTCTCTAAATACTTCTGATTTCTTCTTTCGTATGCAATCTGCAGTCTCTAGTAGGGTTTTTATATAGCGATTCTGTTTGTTCAAGTTGAACCATTTCAGTAACTGACCTTGAAATCTTGCCATCTCTTTAATAAGACAGGAAAAATTAACTAAAACAAAAGAAGACACTAACAGTTGCTGAACTACAACCAACAAGTGCCAAGTATGGGGGCACTTCTTACTGAAAATCCTATAGGTGTTCATGCTCTGCTCAGTGAGTGGTGGAAGCTCAGGTGTATTTACCACCAAAGTACATAAATATACTCCTAGCTACAAGCATTTGCTGTCTCATTTCTACTCTCAAACAGAAAAAGGAGAATATCATTTTGAGAAATAATATTATTCATCTTATTATTATGCTTGGCTATTGATCCAAGGAAGACAATGAAACTAAATATACCACCACTGTCCTATACTTCTAGTCACAGAAATATTATTACTTGAGTTTCAGGGCACATGATCAGATCAGCATATTTCTATATTGTTGGTATGAAAATGCTGTCTTTTGATAAACTGTACTGTAAACAGAAGGAATAACATTGAAATTTCATGTTATCATAGAATTACAAACTGCATTTGGAAATATTTATTTATTATAGTCAATTATACATTGCTACTCAATCTCAAGTAGCAAACAACATTTGCCATTCTGAAATAAATTACTGTTATATACATTTTTAGAATAAAATATGCTACAGCTGATTCTGAGGCCTAGGATTACAAGTGTGAGCCACCATGCCTGGCAAGGGAAAGAACTTTAAAAAAAGTGGCAGACTTTATTCAGACCTACCCAACAGATGCCTGACCTCTGTTCAGGTTCTTAAGAGGTAACCTCTAAACACCTGAAATTTCCTAAAGAATAGAAGATGTTGTTCGTGGTGGGACCCAAACCATCTAATAATTTATGTTATTCAGGTGACTCATAGATGCTGCACTAGTAGAAGACTCGGGGTGGGGGCTGGCCAAGCCACAAAGACCAATCTGGTGATTACAGGGCTGGGGCTTGTAGTATCCTGTGGTATCAGTCCAATCCCTGGGGAGGAAAGGACAGAGTCCAGAAATTGAGTTCAATCAGGTGGGTGAAGATAAAATCAATTAAGCTTAGGTAATTAAATTCCAAAAAAATTCTGGACAAAAGCTTGGTAGGCTTCCTTGGACTGCCACACATTGATTCTGACAGGGTATGCCCTTGAGGGTGATGTGTCTCCAGAGATGATGGAAAAAGCACCATGTCTGGAACTTTCTCAGTACCTTACTTTGCTCTATGCTTCTCTTCCTTTGGCTAGTTCTGATTTGTATTCTTTTGCTATTAAAAACAAAACAAAACCTTAACCATGAGTGGAGCACTTTTCCAAGTTCTGTGAGTCATTCTAGCAAATTATTAAACCTGAGGCAGTTGTGGAACCTTCAAATTTGTGCCAGCTGGTGTGAAGTCAGGATGGCCCTGGGAAACTCAAATTTGTGGTTGGTACCACAAATCTCTAAAGACTTAGCAGTCTAAAAGACTGTGCCTTTTGTCTCTGGTTTGGCTAACATGGATAGTGTACTTCTTTCTTTATTTTCCAAACATAATGCGAGATGCAAAACAGCTACCTTGTGACAAGCATATGCCAGATATATCAGATAGGATTCAGATATTTCAAAAAGTAATTAATTCAGGGATTTGGGCACTTGACAACTGGAAGAGCTAGAAGAGCCAAAGACTGAAGATACTGGCTCGTAGGCCTGCCACCACAGCTACAGTCAAGAGAATCAGAAGGTTGCTGTTGCCATGAAGGTTAGAAAATTTCAGGACACTAAAACCATAGAATGATTGAGAATGAAACGCACAGAGGCAAATGAAAAACTTCACAACTAGTGAAGCTCAACTTGCCAGAAAAAAAAGTAGTATGATTTTTGCTTCCCTCCCATCTTTATTGGCAGACAGTAACTCACAGGAAGGAGTCCAGAAAGAAAGGAATCTCAGAAATGTAGTTCTTTGGCTTCCAAATATCTTCCTTATATTTTATTCAGTGAAAAACAATTTTCCTTTTTCCTATTCTCTCTTGATCCAAGTTTTTCTGCAAATTGCATATTCAAAACTTCACAGTATTTACTACAACTGGTCAAATTTTCATCACATTTATGAATATATTATCAGGAGTTCATAAATACTATTATTGGACAATATTCTTTATATCTTTCCTAAACTTTAAATCTTAAAAGGAATGAATCAACAAAGCCTCTCAATGTTAATGGAGGAAGGGATATAGTAGTGTCTGCTATATCCAAGAACAGTCATCAGAAGTACATAATTTAGGGCCGGGGATTTAGCTCAGTGGCTCCACCGCCTGCCTCGCAAGCGCAAGGTCCCAAGTTTGATCCCCGGTACCAAAAAAAAAAAGGACATAATTTGTTATTAACATGAAAAGGTGATCTCTACATATAAACCATACATGCAAGTAATTTTCAGTGACAAAGTCGCTTAGTGAGGTTTAAATGGCCAAATATTTCAAAATGTCCTTCTTTAGAACAAGAGCTTATTTCTGAAAGTAGCTGCTTTGTCACTCACTACCACATGTAATAGACTTTATTTTTTAACATATCTATATGTACCATCTTGTAACAATAATTTTTTAAATCACCCATTTTACAAAGGTTAAGTTAAAAGTAGATAACTTATAAATCCACTTAATCTAGCACATGAAAACTGCAAGAAAATTGTAATATTCTGAATGTGAATATATAAGTGTGGGCACCACCATCATATCACTCTAAGGGTGCAAAGTTCCACAGGCTCAAGCCACTTCTGAACCACAATACGACATATGGCCATCAGACCCAAGGACCAGAGCTCAGCAAATACAAATGTAATTTAACATCTCATGTGCTTGCTATTTTAAAAGTACAAATTGAATTTAGAACATTTTTTTCCATATGCACCATATACTAGTATGGAGATCACTAATCTCTAAAAAATGGTAAAAGTTACATTTTTCACCCAAATTTATTTATTTATTTATTTATTTATTTATTGGTACCGGGGATTGAATTTGGGTCCTTGCACTTGCGAGGAGGCAGAATCACTGAGCTAAATCCTCGGCCCTTCACCTGAATTTAGTAGTGACAGGCACTTGGAAGATATTTGTGGAAAGAAAGCAGGCAAAGAGGGAAACAAAAAGGAGGAATTACATGGGATAAAAATATTTAAGTTGCTATATTCTGAAGAACAAAGTCATAATATTGAAAATCTCACCTATGAACAGAGAATTTGAAAAAACAAAAAATTACTATTTTTTAAAGTTCCATAATTTAGAGTAGATTAAGAAGTGAAGTGAGACCTAAGAGGAAAAGGCCAACAGTTATCTTTATTTATGGCCTGAAGTGAGCTATTTGGATATAAGCAAAGTAATTTACATGGGAAATGTAAATGCACTTAACAGAATAAAGGTCTGGACAACTATCCACATCATTTAGGTATAAGGTTACATGAACACAGAAATCCTTTAAATTTCATTAAAAAATTACAATACAGTATGTGAAATTCTAACCATAAATCCTAAACAATAAAAATACCTGGTTGAGGGCCGGGGATTTAGCTCAGTGGTTTGGCCACCTGCTGTGCAAGCTCAAGGAAAAGAGTTCAATTCCCAGTATCAAAAAATATATATATATCTGGTTGAAAGTTAGAAAATACTTGCAAAACAAATACAGTTGTCCCTTGGTATTTGTGCGAGACTGTGATTTCAGACCCCCTGGCAGGTACCAAAATCCATATATGTTCAAATCCTTACATAAAATATATGTATTTGCCTTTAACCTATGCACACTTCCCATATACTTTAAACCATCTCTAGATTCCTTATAATTCCTAATACAATGTAAATGCTATGTAAATAGTTCTTGTAATGTTTAGAAAATAATGCCAAGAAAAAGGTCTGGACACGTTCAGAACAGATGCAATTATTTTCAAATACTTTCAACACGTAGGTTATGAATGCACTGATGCAAACCAAAGCTCAGGATACAGAAGGCTAACTGTATATTCCAATTTGGCAAACAAATTATAAAGACATGAATGAAAAAATGAAACAGCATAAAAGGTTTAAAGATAATTACAGATATTATTTACCATTATCCAACAAGTGCTCAAAACAAAAGGCAAAGTATTAAGTGCACAATATCAATATATTTTTAAAGAAGTTCAAAACATTTATAACTTATGGGAGCTATGAAAAACAGTATTTAATATTCTGCCTCACATGAAAATAATATGAAAAATGTTTCTACCTTTGTGATAAGAATTCGGTATCTATCCAGCATTGCCTGGTTGTCATGGCAGCCTGCTAATAACTGCCATACTTCGGCCCTCAATGCTTCGGGAACACCACTCTTTACCAAGGTGGATAGCCCTTTCGGTCGTGCACCAAGGTTACTGTGCCTGAGGAAAGAAGAAGAAAAACCATTCATATTCCCTTTATCACTTTAAACCTCCTTGTTGCTATACAAAATGTATCTATTAGTTTATACAAAAGTATAATCCTGGGTCAAAGACAAAAATGACAAGGGGCATAGAACAATAGTAGCTCTTAAGCTTAGTAATATGTTTGACCTTTTTTTCTTGTTTTCATCTTTTTACTGGTGAGCCATATTATTCTAACTTAATGGAAAAAATTTTCTTCCTTTCATTTACTTCTTAAAATCATCCTTATGAACTTATTTATATTAACAAGTATGAAGAGGCCAGGGATTTAGCTCAGTGGTTCCGGCGCCTGCCTCGTAAGCTCAAGGTCCCAAGTTCGATCCCCGGTACCAAAAAAAAAAAAAAAAGTACGTTAGCTGTATATCCATGTGCATACATAGAACTCTCTGAGATAAACGTATGGCAAGCTGGCTAGTGTATGTGGTAGGAGATGATTGAAGGACCAAAAGCCGACAGACCCATCGCACCTAGAGGGTACCCCATTCTCAGGCTGAGTTGCATCAAGTGCAAAAAGAGGCTCTACACTCATGTTCTTTAATGGTGTTAAATCATACAAGTTCTACCTCCTAATCTATTTTAGTTGAAGCCCATCAGTATTATCAGCTTAGCGTCTATAACCCAACAATGTAAAAGTTTAGCTAGATGATGAGTATAAATACGAACCTCTTCAAAGTCCATGCACATCTATCTCAATTGATACCAACTGTATCTACCCTTGACCTCTATAGTAACTTCCTAATACCCATTCATCCTACTACTATATACTTCAACATTGCAGGCACAAAGAAGAGACCAATCACCTTGATTACATGTTCTGTTGGCTCATAGTCTGTGTAATGATTTACCTAATCTTCTGAAAGTCAAAATCACTCACATGTATACACTCATATATACATATGCATACACATATTCTTTAAAAGTTAATAGTCAACAGCCCTCAATAAATATTTTATTTTATATAATTCAACTTAATTGACATTCTACCTTTACTAAACCCTCAGCCATTTGTCTGGCCAGGAATAATGAAAATGTCTGTTCAATATTCTTAAAAATCTGGACACTATTTATCTTTATACACTGAATTTAAAAAAGAACTGGGTCCATTTTCCTACAATGGATGCACCTTGAGACCATAATATTAAGAGAAATAAGTCAGACATACAAGCATAAACATGGCATGATTTCTCTATGAGAAACCCAAAGTATGTATAAATTAAAGAGCAAAAAAAAAAGATAATAGGAAATAGCGAGACAGATCACTTGCAAATGGAAAGAGGAAGCAGAGACGGAGGAGAGGGAAGAGAGGGAGGAAAAGGGGATGTAAAAAGAAGTAAGACATACTATGTACATGTACCAACTCCCCACAATGAGTGTAATCATTCCCTGCAAACTTGTACTAATAAAAATTTTAAAATTTTTAAAACAACTAGGTTACTCATAATACTATTAATAAACACCCTTAATTTATTGACTATCCTGAAACACTGTGTCAATTATATTGCATACAACACTGGATTACTTCAGAGGTTCTAATTCATAGATATTAACCCAAATACTACAGGTACATATCTATGACAAGGGAAGACACAAATAAAAGAGCAATTTATTAAAATAATCATTTGCTTTCAATATTTTTATGAAAAATATAACTACACATGGCCACTGCTTTGACAGAACATTAACTGCAGGTACTAGGAACTGCAAAGTAGGCAACTAGCTATGACATGTGCTGAACTGCATGCTAGAAACAAGATAGATACCTAATAAGATTATTTTAAAAGTCACACATAAGCAAATACATACTAACTGTACAGTAACCAGCTAGTTTTTAAAAGCATGAATATAAATTCCACAAAGTCAAGATTCTGTGTCTTCTTTACTTACATATTCTAAGCACCTAAAATAGTACCTAGTACATAGAATGCACTTAATACAATTCTGATAAAGGAATACATTTATAAAACAAAATTAACCTTTTTAACAAAAGGTTAAAAAATCAATCTGAAAATGGTAGCAAGATTTGTTTTAGATGTTGAATGTTTTCAAAATGCTAGTTCTAGTGATTTAAATATTAAATTATTAAGGGACTTATAGAATTGTACAGTGTAATTTCTGAATAACTGCCTCTGATCTTGAAAATATGTGGCAAACTACTGAAAAAATTTAATGACAAAAGGTAGCACTGACCTTGGATATTTGGCATAAACATCAACTTTTATAGCAGGAATTATTTTAATTTTTATTAGCACATATTTGCAGTAGAGAATGATTACATTCATCGTGAGTAGTTGATACATGTATATAACACATTTTAATTCTTTTTGTGTCCCCTTCTCCATCTCTCCCTCCCCTCCCCATGAAGCTCTCCCATCAGAAATGTTTATTCTTCCTTTCATTCACTCTTTCTTTTAATGAGTTATTTCTTCACTATAGCTTAACTGTAATCTCTCGTAAAAACGTCCATTACTAGACTTTAGTCTCTTTTCAGTTTTTTTTCTATATTATCCTATTTCTCTATTTTAAAATATTAGGTATTTTGGGCTGGGGATTTAGCTCAGCGATGCCGCCGCCTGCCTCGCAAGCTCAAGGTCCCAAGTTCGATCTCCGAACCAAAAAAAAAAAAAATTCGGTATTTTTCCTTTATATCTTTCTGATCATATATTTAGCTATGTGAATTCTGACTTTATCAAGGTTTTAACAGACTGATCTAGTTATTTAACAATAAATTGAAAATATTTCACTAGATTTCTTTAAAAGTTCACTGAGAATACAGTCTATCTCCTCACTTAAAAGAAAAATTTTCTCAAGGCACAAAGTGTAGGGCTCTATATAACAGATGCTTTACCCTAATAAGTCACACACAAAATCTTCACACAATGCTTAACTATTATTTCTGAGACTTCGAAAATTCCTGAACCTAAGAAAGACTAATATTTAATAAAGAAATCTTAAGGGCAATTTTTAGATTTTGCCAATCTTGTGTAATAGATATAACCTTTTCTAGGCTGGGCAAGCTTACCCTTTTTGTGTCAATTGTTATGACGTAAGTGCAATGAGTCAAATAAACGAAAAAGATTATGAAAGATCAGTAAGTTTTCTTTTTTGGTACCAGGGATCGGACTCAAGACCTTGCACTTGTGAAGCAGGCACTGGAACCTCTGAGCTAAATCCCCGGCCCCTCCAGTAATTTTTCTGTTTAAAAATCATTTATCTTAGTTCTTTAAAACAGTTCACTCAGATACTTTTCATGAATTTCTTAAAATCTACTAATAAAAACAGTATAATTTAGACAATATTTTATTTCTACTTTTTTTTCTTTCTTTTTGGTACCAGAAATCGAACTCAGGACTTTGTGCTTGCCAGGCAGGTGCAGAACCACTGAGCTACATCCCCGGCCCTGACAATATTTTATTTCTGAAGAAAGATATACATTGCATTTAGCTGATAAACCTTTTCAATTCTATATCAGATATCTTGCTCCATACATACAATGCACACGCAGAGTTAGGTTCAGAACTCATCAGCCCATGGAATTACTACTAACCAATTTCTGTTAATCAGTTTTATTCCTACCCAAAATTACCTTACCGAAAAATAAAAAGCACCAGTAGAAAGCTCAACTTGTCTCTTTACATATATAAATACATATGCATATATGGACATGTTTGTGATACATAATTATAATCACCTGGGGGAACTGGTACATACACATATCCAATCGTGATCATTTCTACGTTCCTTTCCCTCCCATCCTCCTCCTTCTCATCTCCACAAAGTCTACCTCTCTGTCTCTTATCATCCCTCTTTTTTTTTTTGCTCTTTAAATTACTAATATTTTGGGTTTCTCATATAAGAGAAACCATGTGATATTTAATCTTCTGTATTTGATTTATTTCACTTAGCATTACAGTCTCAAGATGTATCCACTTTTCTACAAATGACTTAAATTTATCTTTAAGGTTAAGTTGTACTCCACTGTGTACATATACTACATGTTTTTTATTCATTCATCTATTAATGTGCATGTATGTAGTTTACAAGATTTAGTTATTATGGGATGTGCTGTTATAAACATGGATATGTATGTATCACTATACTACAATGTCTTTAACTCTTTTGGGAAGATAACCAAAGAGGCATAGCAGGATCAAATGAAATTTCTAATTTTAGTTTTTTGAGAAATCATCATACTGATTTCCATAGTGGTCTGTACTACATTCCCAAGAACAATGTAGAAGGGTTCCTTTATCCTGATAATTTTTCCAGAATTTGTTGTTTTTTGAGTACTTAATGAATTAAGTACTCTTAACTACTAAAATTGGGTGGCAGCACATAAGGATTTATTATATTTTTTTCCACTTTTTTATACCTTTTAAAATTTCCACCGGGTCTGTAATGTTTAAAGAAGTATTTATCAATTATATCACAATTATCTGTTTAAATGTCTTTAAGCCTCCAAGACATAAGCCTCGAGTGAAGGAACTCTTATCATCTGTAAATTAGCAGCATTCACTGGAAATCCTGAGAGGATAAATACTTAAATGATAAAATTTGAATAAGTGAATCGATTGACATTTTACAGAAAAAAATTAACAAAATGGTCGAGAAATCCAGCATAACTTCAGTGTTTCGAGTATTTTATTAAATGATCTAAGTTAGCATCCTACCCACTTTAATTATTAACTTCAAAGGTAAGTACTATGACATTTTTTATGTATCGCCACATTGCTTCATAAATTTATATTGAACCAAATTATAAATCTTGTATTTTATAAATTAAGGGAAGACATCTATTTGGCTATTTATAAAAATATTCTGTTGGTCTTCTATCCTTATGATCTCTCTTTAATATGACTAGATGATTTAAGCACTGCCTGGTCAAGAGTATCAATTTCCTCACCTACTCTCTCTCTAGTACTCCTACACGTTCCTACACAAATAAATTCAGAAATCTACCT